TAATACGTTTTTAATTCAAATTGTTGACCTCTCAGGCAAAGAAAATAAAAACTTTACAAGGAAAAAGATGCCTATAAAATCATTAAATTCGCCTTTCTGTCTTTGATAAACAAAGTTTCTTCTTGTTCTAATTTGAAATCTTTGCCCCCACAAGACTGTCTAACACTAGAAAGGATATTGATTTAGTTTTGTAAGCCATACAACTCGAAACTCTATGCGATCTGCACATGCGCGTACTTCTAATGCCTAGACAGATGCATTCCGATGAGATCACAGATACCACATTTGTAAACGAATAGTTTTTTTGTCATATAAAAGCCAAGTAGCATATAACATTTACTAACGATATTCGTACATCAATACGCTTGAGCTTCCGGTCACGTAATAACACAGCCAACCCAACAATTAATTATTAAATTCTTAACTTCCGGTGGTCCAAACGCGACATAATACATAGATTGGCTGAAAGATAAAACTAAAGTCGACCTAGCCTTCGGCTAGTCCGACTAATAAGCGATAGCTTGAAGCGGTTTACTGGCGAAATAAACAGCGCGGGATGGTTGGGAGAACATGAGAAATGATTTGTAAATCGCGAGCCGTCAAGCGATGGATTTACCTTTTCTCGTGTTCTCCCAACCATCTCAAAGCGCTTTATTTCGCCGGTAAACCGCTTCAAGCTATCGTTTATAGGTGGGCGTACGATGACGTAGTTTGTTTACATTCAAAATATAAAATTCAAAAAATAAGCAATCTGAACTGGTATAATTCAAGATTATATTGATGTCAACAAAACCTGAAAATGTTAGGTCAAACGCCTTTTTACATTTCGAGATATCGGCAAATCAAAACTACAAAATCTATAGAAACTATTCAGTGGTTGGCAAAATAATGCCAACCACGGTCATTTCTTTAGAAAATCTTGCAAATTYRGCGCKTGATATCTCTTGAAATATTTAACCAATTGCCTTCAAATTTGCAGGAATTGCTAACAGGTATGAGTTCTTTTCATTTATCGGCTTGATTTTCTTGTGTCTTGAAATTCGAATTCTGACTTTTATGCAAATTAGCTAAAACGTAAACATTGGCGCCCACCTTTTTATATTATAGCCATTTAGACTCAAAAGTCTTTCAAGACAACAGGCTGGTTTACCGGCGAAATAAAGCATAGCATCAGCGCTCGCATTAGAATTGAGCTATAATGAAAATGGTGAATAAAGGTCATGCATGTAACCGACTTGGGACAACACGATTGGTCTAACAGCTCATAAATTATTAGTGAGTTTTTTCAAATTTCTTTACAGGTTAATTACCTGGCACCTGTGGATCGGTGTGGTTGATTGTTTTTACAATTGCATCTACTACAGAACCCGTCTCGATGAGATATCGCATGTTAAGGAAAATATCATACCAGAAGCCGACATTCGGCTTTTGCCTTTCGGGCAAAGAGATACTGCGCTTCGCTCGTTCAGTGCTGTAAAGACCTCGGGTAGTGTTTTCCTTTACGGACTGACCTATAGCCGGTAAATAACATTTCTATTTTTTTCATTTGTACGCCTCCTACTCACATGACTTCATTATGTGATAACATGCTTGCAACTTTGCTCGCAGCCTAGCTGCAGGATACCGTGGACCGGGTAGATCGTGAAAAACCGGACCGTGCGCTAGCCAATCACAACGCGCGAATGACTAGGATACCGGCCTAAAAAAATTAAACGTTTATATTTTGCTAAACCCACGGAAACCACTTCAAACCATGTGTATACACACGAAAAGGACACGTTTTTAATCATTGACTTTGCATGGATTTTACTGTGCTTTTTTTATCGTTATTATCGTTATGTGTGAATCTGGAGCATTTCTTAATGTTAGTCTCCCAGCTCCTGGATAACGGATTTCATGGAAAATTTCGCAAAGCATTCTAACTTTTTTTCCGGATTCCTCTTGTTCTACGGGATTTCTTTCAATTGATATGGGCTCCGTATTCCAGAGCTAAACTTTTGTCGGTTTCTGGATTCCGTGTCATGGCGAGTGATTCTAGTCATATTTTAGTCAGATTCCTGTTCTTTTAAAATAGCGCATGATAACCTGAAACTG